AAAACAAAATGTAAGGTGCAGTACTTGTATTTTGCCTCAATATACCATTCATCAAAAAAATTTAATAGACATCATCTCTTTGTCATGCTACTGTGAGACTTATGCTATGGTTAAGATGGGGTTTACATCACATTGATGAGTTTGTATTTACTTTTCTTTTTTCTTTTTTTTCTTTTTTAAAAAAAATAAGAATCCCATCCCTAGAATCTTATAGTTAGTCTATTTTTTATTGTATAATTCTTTATTTATTATAAGGCATAGTATAGAAACCATAATTATAATACAAAAATTAAAGTGATAATGCACCACAAGAATGATTGCCATCATATAAGATATAAAATGCTAAAAGTAATTTTTCATGTGACCAACAAGAAAACAAACCTGCTGAAGAAGATCTTCTTCGCTTGCATATGGTGACCACTTCAAAATAGTTTCTAAGTTTCTACTCCAGTCATTAAGTGAAGATCGTGTCAACTTCTTCCAATCTTGTCCTTCTCTCTCATAATCAATCTTATAATTCCAAATGAAGATAAAAAGAGTAATAAATTAAAGAAAGGAGGACCAATAAGGCATACCCCAACATTTAAGTATAAGAAAAGTAATAACATACTTCTAGCTATAGCACCAAGATAAAACCAAAATAACGTAGCTCCCGACTCTATAAATCTCATTTTCAATATTCTCTTTTTAAATAACTTTCATCATTTATGATAGAAAAAACCCCATTTTATGCACAAATAGTTTTGTAGCATACAGCTCTACATAAAAAATAAAATAATAATAAATCTTTTATTTATTTTCTTTTTCAAGGTACATAAGCTGAAACTGAACCTACAACATACTAACCTCAATACAAACCTTCTAAATTTCAATCAAAAACCTTCTCTAAATACAGTAGTCATGTAAAGTTGCAAAAGAGTACCAGAGTCACTAGCTCAATGAATGGAAGTGCAAGCATGCACACATGCACCATATGTTAACAAAATAGTTGTAACAGAGCCTAACTTCTATGGCTTAAGGAATTTTCTACCAGACATGCCAAATTGAGCCCATCATGACTAATGAATAGAAACAGTTTCAAAAATTTTAAGTATTATAACAAAGGCAATGAAGTTTCATACTAAAAATATACACTTAGAAAAGGAGGGAGAGATTCCTAGAAAAATGAGGAAAAGTGAAGGAAGAAGAAGAGTAAGGAGAGAAAATATGAAAAAAAAGAATTTTAATAGTAAACAATTCATGTAATAAAATTTTGTAAGAATAGTGAAAAGGAATTTAATTGTTGAAAAAAACATAATATACCCTCAATGAATGCCGATAAGTTAAAAAGTGTCTCGAGTTCGGGTAATTTTTTGCCATCTCTATCTTCTTCTCATCTCGATTCACCCCTCTAATTTGAATGTCCTGTCATTTGAAACCCAAAATTAAAAAAAAGAGAAGAAAAAGAAGAATCATTGTCATTAAAATCACATGTAATCATAAGGTGCCAAAAAAAAAAAAGGATAATGAATGTAAGGGCATCGAAAGCATACATTTTGATCTGTGCTCCTCCGCCTCCCGCGTTTAATTTAAGAGATCCAAGAACTTGGATACCTAATAACCCTTTTCTCGCTCCTCCTCCGCCTCCTGAATTTAATTTAAGAGATCCAAGAACTTGGATACCATATATTCCTCCAACCCCCCCTAGTATCCCTCAGAACCAGCAGCCATGATAATTGCTTCTACTATAACGTAAAAGCTATTCTACCAGAAAATTTATACAAAATAGTTAAAAAGAATGGTATGCCAATGACATTTTTGAAATAAATGTCACTTTGTTGGAACCGCTCTTTATATTTTCTCGATATAGTTTTAATTCCTAAATTTATCAAACCAATCGAACAGTATATAATCATCATAAATAATAGTTCACACAATATAAAGAGAGGAAGCAATTTTATATTTTTTAGCATACCATATTTGTGTGGATTGGTGATAACATTATTGACAACATCATAGGCATCTCCAAATCTATAGCTTGCATTAGGAAGTTTGCTTGACAATTGATTCACAAGATTGCTAGTGGCTTGATTGAAGCTCAGAGCCAATTTGTTAGTCTTGTCTTGGCAAGCCCCTGTTGTACTTAGCACCCTTTGAAGAGGAATGCACCCCATTGGTCCTAGCCCAAACACTATCAGCTGCCTTGCCCCTAAACTATGCAATAGCTGAAAAAACAAAAAACAAAAAACAAAAAAATAATCTCTTAGTTTCTATATATATAATTAATAGAGAAAGAAAAATAAATAAATAAATAAAAATAGCAAACAGTCTCAATAACAATAATACTGCAAATACGGAAAAGTGCATTGGTGCCCCATGTAAGGTGAGTTAAGGGTAGCTTGGGTCTGGGCTAAAATTATAAGAATCTCTCATGCCAAATCTGACATTGGGCCTACAAATCAAATTCCAAGCCCGACTCTAAAATGATGTTAAAATTTCAAGCATGGTCAACAAACCCATAGATTATATTAAAAATAAATATTAATAAATTTGTAGTTTAGCTTACACAAACGTTTAGTATTATCTATTGCATCCTTAGTTCAAGTTCAGTAAGTGTATTTTCCTTTTTAAAATTTACTTTATTGAAACAAAAAAAAAAAAACTAAATAAATAAATGTAAAAACTAACATATTATACAAATTAATAAATGTTACAAACTTTTCATGCAGTAATAAAATTTTAAAAATTCAAACGAGACCCACTTCAATAATATAATAGGTGTCCTATTTGTAAATAAAATAAATTTGTAAAATTTATTAATGTATATAACAATACTCATATATTATGTCTATAATATAAAATATAAGCAGGTTGGACTAGACTTCAATGATTGTTTCCAAGTATAAACAAACCTAAAAATTTAGTCCATCACAATACTGTAAATCTGGAATTTTTAAAAACATGTTGAAATGGACAGGAAACCGAACCGTCCTAAAGTGAATGTTGTGTTTGTGAACATTTCTAAATTAAAAAATAAAAATAAAAATAAAAATTATTGTTGGTATTGATATTGAATAATAAAAAGGAACAAACTAAAACAAATTTGGTTTTGAGATTACTCTAAGTTGAGCTCCGAGAGTGTCCATTAAGTAGGTCATGAAGGTCTGGTCATTGTAGGTCCATGAATCACTGTAAACTGGCATCAAGTAATTGAATTCATGGCTGCTGGTACATCAACACGGCATTTTTTTCAATTGTTTGAGTATGCTTGTGATGTAGTGTTTGTTTAGAATCTTGATACTAGTACAGTGGTAGAGGTTTAACATGTTCTATAGGGCAGAGGCTATTTGTTCTTTGTACAGATTATCTATTTGTTCACTTGTACAGATTATCTATTTGTTCTTTGTATTGAGCTGATAAGGGATTCACTTGTACAGATTATCTATTTGTTCTTTGTATTGAGCTGTAACCTTGTCCCTCCGAATTTTCATGGTTGGAGTCATTAAACCATTATCAATCTGCATGCGAAAAAGATTTGTTGAAGATAACTACTCCCTCCATCCCAAAATATTAGTCCCTTATTCCATTTTTCATTGTCCCAAAATATTAGTCCCTCTTTATAAATCAAGTACAAAAATAATGTAAATTTCCTATTTTGCCCTTCTTTTAAATTAATAAACAATTTAAAAAGTACAATTATGACATTGATATTCCCAAAAAATGTACTATCAAAAGGGTAATTTTGGAAAACCAACTTTTTTCAAATGCAATAAGTGTACTATCAAAAAAAGTTGGATTCCCCAAAAGGGACCAATATTTTGGGACGGAGGGAGTAGATAGAATGGATATGGGAATGGCTATACAAGTGTGAACATTTACCGTAAAAAGGCTCATCAACAAGAAGGATTGGCCCAATTTGAAACGAGCACCGAGAAGTCCTGCATGAAGGAAAAACTAGTTGTAGAAAACAATAAAACTAAAAAAAAAGAGACTGGTCATTACTATCCTCCTCCGCCTCCCGCGTTTAATTTAAGAGATCCAAGAACTTGGATACCTAATAACCCTTTTCTCGTTCCTCCTCCGCCTCCTGAATTTAATTTAAGAGATCCAAGAACTTGGATACCATATATTCCTCCAACCCCCCCTAGTATCCCTCAGAACCAGCAACCATGATAATTGCTTCTACTATAACGTAAAAGCTATTCTACCAGAAAATTTATACAAAATAGTTAAAAAGAATGGTATGCCAATGACATTTTTGAAATAAATGTCACTTTGTTGGATCTTGTGATTTAAAATAATAAGATCCAAATGTGATGCATCATTCTATATAAACTTTTCGTATAAATTTTCTATTTGTATATCATTAGTTTTACTATAATTATTGTGAAATATATATATTTCAATTCTTCATTTATGTTGCAATAAGTCTGTGAAATATACTACTCATAATTACAGAACTATGTACAAAACTGCCTTGTAAGCTTGTCATCCCTCACCCCCAGCCAAATAGAACACACTATGCAATCATTCTGTGCTTTAGTTGTAAACATTAACCTGTTAAGAACATCCCGAGGCCGAGATGAGTCTACATATTAACAAAACCTCCTAAAAATAATTCCCAGTAACATTCAGTATATACTAAAATATAATTAGCGTGTAAAGGATAACAATTGAGGAAAAACCTCCTACATCTGCACACACCTCTTTGTTGCCCTTTCAGTTAGTTGAGGAAAAAAAATGTGCATCAGTCCATGACTATTCTAAAAGCGTTAATCCTGTATAGGGAATATATACTATAAGCCACTTTAAATATCGAGGCTGAAGAACTAAGCAGTATGCACTTCAACGCTCAGTTTTGCAACTTGGGATCCTCTTGCTCTCTAGCAGCTTGGCCTTGTCGAGTAAATCTTGGATGGTATTCGAAGCATTCTACAGAAAACAAGTATTGTTCATACAAGAAACAACAAGAACAATAGCAAAAGTAATTGACTGCATCATAAAGAAACTGATATGAAGCTTATTACTATTGTTTTGTAGGTCCTAGCTCAAGTCAAGCCACACAAAAGCAGACAGGGGGTCCCACATATGTGCATGGTCAATGGGGTACTAGTGAAGATGGCATTTTAAAAGTTGTTCCAAACGAGTTGAATCAAGTAGTTGAAGGACACACATCCCTTGCTTCACATTTGGGCGTTTTGGCACGAGATGGGAGTCTTGCACCACTCACTTTTACGACTTGGCATTATGTTCCAAAACAAAACAAAGATAACATATGGAGGGAGATAAAGGTATATATGGATATTTAATATGAAATAAGTTACAATTGTATTCCATATGAAATGCATATTACAAGTGTAGTTGACATTGCATATTACAAGTGTCTATAATTGTAATGCAGGCTCATACGGATGCAGATGAATCCATGAAGAGAACAATAATGGCTTCATTTGGAAAGAAATGGAGAGATTGGAAAAGTTGAGTAAAAACAATGGGATACAAACCCTTCAAGAATGATGCAGAAAGGTTGGCTCATCGACCAGATAGAGTACATGAGGATCAGTGGCGGGCTTTGGTCTACTATTGGGGCACTCAGAGTGCAGCGGTAAAATTTTATTTATGTGAAACAATGTTTATATATGATAATTTTTTATAACATCTTAAATAAATTTCTTATTGGACAGAAATCAAGCAAGAAGAATAGAAAAATCCGGAAGAAGAAGACATTACATCATAGGACAGGCCGAAAGCCTTTCTCAGTAGTTCGACTGGAGGTATAATTATTCTCTCCATTCATCCTTTTCATTCTTTGTCAACTATAGCTGTCTATATGTGCTAAAAAGGTGTCAACAATTTGCACCATAATGAATTTATACAAGTTCTACAAAAACAGATGTTATTTGCTTAGTTGTTTATTTTATTTACTTAACTTGTTCACATATTTAATTGCTTAATTATTTAATTTTCTTATTTATCTTAAGATTTTGGTCGTCTTTCATTTATAGGAGACAAAAAAGAACAATGGGGTTCCTGCTAGTCGGTCACAGGTGTGGATGGCCGCATACATGAAAGATGGGACGTCAAATAGTGATTCAGTTAATGAGGTTATGGTATGTAATACTACTTTATCTTTGGACTTTTAATATGATTTATATTTATATTGGAGGCTAATTATTGAATTCAAACTTGCAGACTCAAATGAATGAGTTAGCAGAGCACATGGAGGGATCTTCTACTGACCCTGCAGCATTACAGGAGCAAATCTTCACACAAATTATGGGCCCAGAGCGACCTGGTCGTGTTCGGACGTTTGGATTGGGACCGTCACCCACTGATGTTTTTGGAGGTGGATATAGGCGGTCACAAGAGCAGAATCGTCTCTTCCAAACTCAAGTTCAAGAACAAGTTCAAGAGCAACTTCAACGGTATCAAATGCAGTTTGAGTCGAAGATGAATGAAGTAATGGAGAAACAAATTCAGGCTATACGCACAGATTTTCAATCACGAATTCAGTTTTTGGAATCTCAATTGCAAGCTGCAGGCGTGCCCGTTGATCAAGTTGTTGCACCATCAAACCCATTACATAGGCAGCAGGTATTTTAATTATTTTTACTAGTTATTACTTTAAATTGCCTAAAGCTAATATACAACTTAAGTCTCTTATTGAATGATAGGTTATGGATTCACTTAGTAGTCATCCCACTATTCGGCCAATGTCACATCAACAACAATCTCATGCATTTTCATCCCAAGAGGTGAGCAATCATTTAATCAAAAGCTTTTTTGACAAATAACATAACTTATTAATTACAATACTTGCTCTTATTAAATATAGGTTCACCTTTCAAAGAAAGAGAAGAAGAATAAGAAGAAAAAGAAGAACTAACAAGGTAAAAGTACTAACATCACTAATTTTTAATTTCTCACTTGTCTAAATCTATTAAGACATGATGTGATTTGGTGTTGCAAATTGGTGCATAATTGTAGATTGTGTATTTGATGTGATTGTGATTTTGAGTTGATTTAGTACAGAGGTAGTATATGGTAGAGTTTTTATGATGTATACAAGCTAATTCCATTTGGGTTTTGCTTAATTTTACTATATGAAAATTGAGGGTATGAAAACACACACTTTGAAATAGACATGTGTTGTACAGCCATAGAGAATTTCTTCAAGTTGGAATGAGCTGGAATGCATGTGTTGTAGCCTTGAGTTAATGCTTTTGGATAGTTTGCTTTAGTTGGCAATAGTGGTTGGTTTCATCTGGTATTAATACAGACATATAGAATTTCTTCTCTATTCTCCATGTATAAGCCTTTATTACACGTAATGATATATTGCTCGTGTGGACATATGTGTTTTAGAACATTCTGATAATGTTCCAAGCCATATAGGTGATTTTCACTGAGCTGGTCGTTGTTTTCGTGCTGAGAAACCTGTGTTATCTTAGGAACTAAATGCTTTGTGTCCGATGTGGAAAACTTTCCATTTTAAGTAATTTGTGCATTAATTGAAGTA